ATAAAACAGTGCCCAAGATCCATGCCCCTGTCCTCAGAAAGTTTGTAGTCCATACCAGATTTCAGCATTTGGGGGGAAGGACCATATTTTATGATTTTTTTTTTTAGGCAGGTGGTCTCTGTTGCAGCTACCCAGCTTGTTAGCATGAATAGGCATACAGAACACATGAGCCAATGTGCAGTTCTGTGTGCCAATAAAACTTTATTCACAAAAATAGATCAGGAATTGGATTAACTTGCAAGTCAAATATTTCTTAAAGAACAAAGAGGGGCTCAGTGAGAAGGACCTGGGATGGGGTCAATTACAGGATTCTGTGAAACACATGGAAACATGGCCTGACACTAATGAGGGGGGCGTCATGCAGATCCCCTGAAACAGTAAAGACTATACTAAGATTAGAAAGATGTGTAAGCTGGGTGTGAGTGGGAAGGCATTGGGAGGACGGATGTGTGTGTATAACAGGGTGAGAAGGGGCCGGAGAATAGAAGTAGCAGGAGATTAACCTCGGGGGCAGAACTCATCCTTCGTATTCTCATGCATCAAAATAACACATACTTTAAGCTTTACACAGTTGAGTCTCAGAATGTTTCATGTAAAGAGACAGGCTGAACCAAGGGAAATAAGCTAGTGTGAAGGACTTCATTTTAGACTAGTGGCTGACCTAGAGGTAGGGATGGCTATCTATAATCATCATAAGAACATTGCAGGGAGAGGAGAGCCAGCGGGGACAGCCACCCAGGCTTACTCCCCACAGTTAGCATCGTTTCTCAATGGCTCGGCTGCTTTTTCTAACCCTATGTGCTGTGGCTCAGAAGAGTGTGGAAGAGAGAGAGCCTAATCCAGTGGTTCTCCACCTGTAGGTCTCGACCCCTTTGGCAAACTTCTGTCTCCAAATTCATTTACATTACAAGTCATAATAGCAAAATTACAGTTGTGAAAGAGCAATGGAAATAGGTTGAGAACCACTGACCCCATCCATTCCACCACTGGAATGCAGTAAGGCGAAGCTCCTGCTCTGGAAAGCCTCAGAGTGTTACTGTTAAGCAGCATCTTTGGTGATTTCACCGTGTTTAAAATAATAACAGCATGAGGTGCCCATGGATAGACTAGGTGTCCCCTATCACATTTTCAACAAGTCCTCAAATATCCTGTGTCAGGACAGTTTTAGTTCATGTAAAGTCAGTAACCACCCACAGTCCTTTCTGCTTTAAGTCCACTTTCTACAGGGGTCTCCGGAGATGGCACCTGACCTGCCTGGCTCTTTGAAGCCCTTGCTCTTCTGCACAGTCCCCGGTCCCAATGTAAATCCCCAGCAACTTCAGTCCCATCCACTTCTGAGCCCACCTTGGGGAGATGCAGGGACATGACTGTCATGATAGAAATTGGCATCTGTCCACGGTTGAGTGACCCTGCTTCCCATTTCTGTGGCATCTCTATGTTCATCTTTTCAAACAGCACCTCAAGAAGATCCTGTGTCCATTCCAGTCCTGTGATGGAATTCCCAGGACTGCTGTATCTTTGCATGGTTTCTGGCCTTCTAGGCTTGTTTTCTTAGATGACTCAAGTTATCAACATTATTGGAGGCCACCTCTGGGTGGGCCTGAATGGAAAGAAAAAGGAAGAGTATGAGGGGTATGTTTCTATTTGTGTTTACAGATGGTCCCTGACTTAATGATATTCAATTAAGATTTTTCCATTTCTTTTTTCACTTTCAGTTCAGAACTCAATAAACTATGTGAGTTATTATTCACTATATAGAGTAATTCTCTCTCTATATATATATATATATGTATATATATGTATTTATGTATGCATTATACACACACACACACACACACACACACACACACACACACATATATATATATATATATATATATATATACATTCTGTATAGGTATGGAATAAGATTTGTGTTAGATGGCTTTGCCAACTGTAAGCTAATGTAAGTGTTCTGAGCATGTGTGTGGTAGATGCTGGGCCAAGCCATGATGTAGATAGGTTAGGTTGAGAATCAAATGTCTTGCTACTTGCCATTAGGCAAAGCTATTATGAAATTTTACTTACTGATTGAGAGAGTTTCATATGGCTTCTGATCCTCCTGACTCCTTCTCCTGGTTCTGGATTGCAAACATGCTCTACCACCTCTCTATTCACCTAGTGATATCTCAGTATTTTGGTTGAGCTTGTATCATACAACACTCTTTGTAATTTGATGCAAATATACATTTTTATGGGCTTTTTTCTTATTTATCTTTTCATTAAGTAGGTTTTTTTTTTTCACTTTTCAAATGGAAACTTCACATTTTTAGGTTTACAATGTTTTGCTCTTTTCATTGCACTTTGTAAATATGTCCTTATAGGCCTGGAGTCTTACCCTGAATGGGTAAGACTGCTCTTGTGGACATGGGCCCGTAACTCTAATTCCAGGAAATCCAACTAGGTCTGTGTGCATGTGCATACATGTGGTACATATAAGTCCATGCAGAGACACACATTAAAAATAAATAAATAAATAAGCATTTATTTCCTTTTACTGGATGGCACTTCGAGTTTTTTAAACATTTAACTCTAGTAATTTTTAATTGCTTTTAGCATATGGTATGAAATGTTGACCCCCCCACACACTCTTTTTTTTCCAAAATAATGCCAGACACCAGAAGCTTAGCTGTATTAAGTGTTTATAATTTCCTACTGGGTCAGAAGTGAACTTGCGTCTGGGAGTGAAGAAGAAGAATGAGAAGGACACACGCCTGCCCCTTTAACCAGCTGTGGCAGAGGAGCCACAGAGCCCACTGATTTCTTGGCCTGTAAGACGGTCTCAGAAAAGGATGGGTGCTGCCATCTACTCACAAATGTCCACTCATCATGCCCCCTGAGTCACCAGTCCTCCCAACCTGGGTTGTGACTCACTCTGAATGGCCACCATCCTTTCTTACCTTGACATTTGGCTGTTAGATTGACTGGCAGTGGAAGCTCACATGCTCGCCTAACACATTACAGAGATGATCATTCTGTTTAACTCTCCACGGGTCCATGAAGGCACAGAGAAGTGTTCTCATGTTGCCCCATGTGGCTGTTTCCTAAGGCCCACCCTCAGCCCAAGCCTCTCGCACTTAGGCAAGGCCTATGAACTATAGAGAAGACGAGACAGAGTGCAGGACACTCCGGCCTTTCCAGAATGTGGGAGTAGCTTCTGGAGTCACCAGGGCATACCTTTGAAGATCTTATACTCACAGGGCCTTTGCTTGTGTCTATGGTGATGTGTAGGGAATGTGTGGTCAGACATTGGCAGGAAGGTTGGACTCTTCATTGTTACATGGAAGTCTTGTTCCCAGGACTCGGCTTGATGCTAATAAACTGCACCCAAATGCAGATCCCATTTAAATTCTGCTCAGCAGTAGTGCTGCTCAGCCTTCCAAAAGAAACTCCTTCATTAGTGACAGCATGCAGGCACCTGGAGGACGTTATTAAGTTAAACAAACCAGATACAAAAAAACACGTATCACATGATCTCACTTAGAGGGTCACTGAAAGGATGGAGGGGAGGAATGAAAAAGAAAGACAGTAAGAGAAAGAAAACCAATTCCATAGAAATCACAAGCAGTTGGAGAACAGATGTTCTAGAGACTTTGGGAAAGGATACAAAAATTCAGCTATATAGGAAAAAAAGTGAAAGAGACAAAAAGACGGACCCTTGGGCTGTGGACAATCTGCCATCATCAGATGCTAGAGTTGTGGGGTCTTTCTTACCAAAGGGGGTAAAGTAGAAGGAGAATCCCCTGTGTGGTAACAGAACAAGGCAAGTGACAAAGGTGACGATGTCTTTTTGTATTATTTTATAAGCAACTTTATAGCATACGAAAGGTGGTGCACACAAGGAGGGCTCTCGGTTATTTTCCTTGCGTATTCCACATCAGGCATTTCTGCAAGTGAAAGTAGACCATGAGAAAGGAGTACATTCTGTGTGTCGTTGCAGGTTTCAAGGAAAGAACTTTAAATGAGAGGCCACTGCTGTGTTAGAGGCCTTATGTAGAGACCGGAGAGACCCAAATTCTGTTTCTGTCCCTGCATCAGGCCTGTAACTCCAGCTCCTCTTCTGGCCTCCGCTGCGTTTATGTGCACATACTCCCACATAGACACACTGGCATGTACAAGATTAAAAGTTAAAAAACAAAACACTGGGGGAGCTAGAGAGATAGCTTAGTCACTAAGAGCACTTACTGCTCTTGTAGAGGACCTGAATTTGGGTTCCAGCACCCACAGGGTGGCTCACAACTGTAACTCCAGTTCTGGAGAATTCACTGCCTCCTCTGACCTGCAGGCACTAGGCATGCACATGATGGGTGCGTATACATGCAGCCAAAAAAAGTCATGTGCGTAAAATAGAAATTGTCATTCATAAAAAAGACCTTTAAAAATAGATTTCTTACGCATAGACTGTAAACCACAAAAAAAAGTCTAAACCACAAAAAAAAGTCACCTAGCATGTACACACTCTAGAAATCACAGCACATAAAATGAACTAAATCAAGGCTGGTGGTCACTATAACCATCTGTAGTCTGTGTAAATGAGTAGTTGAGTTCTTTTAAAATATGAGGAGTTATGTGCAATTTCTCTTGCTAAGCCTGGAAGCTATGATATTCTTGGTGTGTGTGTGTGTGTGTGTGTGTGTGTGTGTGTGTGTGTGTGTGTGTGTGTGTGTGTGTTTTCTCCATGCCACTCAGTTATCTAGTGAAAAGTTTCCTATGTGTTTAAATCTAATATGGAGTTGGGTGAAATGGAGAACCTTTCTGGAACAACCTTCATGTATGAGAAATCATTTCCCCCTGCAAACCCAGAAAAGGCTTCAGCAATGGCTTGGCACCAGGGGAAGAAGCACACGCTAAAGGAAGCAAGCGGCCCAGCCGTGCACAACCCAGCTCCCATCCATGACGTAGCTATGGTTTACTGTCCTAGACCTGTCCTCTGAATGCTGATGTTTTGTTCTTCCTTTTAGGAAAAGCTCTGTCTGCCTCATCACATCCTTGAAGAGAAAGGCCTGGTCAAAGTGGGCACGACTGTTCAAGCGCTATTGGACGTCACCGTCACAAAAGCTCTGTTCACATGAGACCAAGCCCTCTCTGCTTGGTGGGCTCAGACTCTACCCAGAGCAGGGACCCTGGACTCTGCTCCTGGCACCTGTACCTGCTCCCCAACTCACGGCCTGCCAATTCCATGACAAGCTTCGTTGACAAGGTTTCAACCTAAGGGAGGATTCAGGACCTTTTAGAGCTGGCCTCCAGGGTTCAAGTTGGACAGGTATTGTCTGACAGCCAGTGAGGGAGCTGGCAGAGAACTGAGTAGCACACCATTGCCTTTTCAACCGCCTTCATCCCTTCCACACTCACCAACTGCCATTACCAAATGCCAAGCACAAACCGTTTCACAGTGAGTCACGTCTGTTTTATCAAAACCAAACTCCTTGCAGAATCAGTGGGGGGGAGGGGGATGCAATCAGGTTTTCTTTTGCCACCAAATTTTTTCAAGATGTTTCTTGAGACCATTGCCTTTTTTGAGAAACTATTTTCAACATACAAAATATTTATATAAATATTATTTATTAGCGAGTCGTTATTCATCCTTTGGATGCAAATTGTAAATTAGGAAACTATTTTATTACTGCTTTTTTGTGGTTAAACAATTTATTTTAATATTATAAATACTGAGTTATTTTCAAGCCTCTTGGGCATGTAGGAGTTCCAGGTCTCAGTGTTCCTACTTCCTGGTGTATATGATTCAGAAAAGAAAAAAATTAAGCAAGAAACACGTGCTTCTGTGACAGAGAGCTGTTTTGATTTGCAGGACATTGTTCTTATTTATACTTCTGCATTCCATCCAGTTCCCTACATTCCAGCAGCCCTCTTGTCCCTGTTACAGTGAACTGACTGAAATCAAGAGCGCACCCCAGAGTTATTTGTAAATAGCTATGTGGAAAAAAATATTAAACTTGAAGATGAAATGTGAACAGGTTTTTTTTTTTTTGATTCTTGTTTCTTTTGCTATGCACAAAGTAGACACATTTTAACACAAGAGAAGTGGGAAGTATTGAGCATATGTCTTGAAGTATAATTTTGCACTGTATTTTGGGTAACTAAGTAGCATCTAGCACCAAAGGTAAATGTTGAGGAAATGAGTGAGAAAATGGGGGTGATGGACAGTGACTGTCTAACTAAAAGGGTCATGAGAGCTTGAGTCCGGAAACCAGCGCTTCTTAGAAACTGCCGGCATTCAAAGAGGGAGAGCTTCTGAAATGTAGCTGTCCTCGTTTTTTATTGTAATTGAGCTGGTGCTTTTTAAAGAGTCCAGACTTGGAAGCTTCGTGGTGTCTGGTATGAAACTTGGGAAGTGAGTGGGTCATGGGGCCTCTGGTGGGCAGCTACATGCACAGCTAAAGCAGTCTGAGTAAAGGAAAGTAGGTAGAGTGTGTGAGCAGCCAGTGGGGAACAGGGACAAGCACATTAGGACTATAGAGCAGACAGCCCAGGAGAGGAGCCCGTCCCATCCTGTTAGTGGGAGAGAGCTTCGCAGAAGGCTTCATACGCTGAGCAGTCACACCCATGCACACTCACGCTGTAGGTATGGATGGATACCCCAGTCATTCATCTGTCAAAAGCCTGCGAATGCCAACTGCACTTTCACCTCTGTACAAAGCCATTAGCAGTTGTCTAGAGCAACAGTAGCCACAATGGGGGACCATCAGGAGGGACGAGTGCATTCAACAGAGACTGACCCTCCACCAGGGCATGGTAGAGGGGCTCTGAACATGGGGATTCAGACCGGCAGCTAGTAAATTACTTCCTATCAAATGTACTGTGCACTTTAACATAAATATATTTTAATACTTTTCTGTACTGCACAAATACCTGTTTTGTCAAATGGCATAACAATGTAAAGATGAGAGGGTTTTAACGGTGTGTGTTTAGCTGGAGCGGCATTCAGACCGTAGCGACACAAGGATTTGGAATGCTGCGCCTTTGTGGCATTGCAGTGCAGGGTCCTGAAATATATTTTTACATGTATCTTTGATGACATGAAGCTCAATAACCATTACTTTGGGATATTTTTTCCAAAATTAAAGTATTTCTTTTGATATTTTCACTATTTTCTTGAAATTGGCTGTATCATACAAATGGCTTCAATATTTTGTAAAATGTTTTTTTTTTAATGAGATTCTTGTATGGATAAGATGTCTTCAAGATCCTTGTACACTGTTTATATGTGCAATGAAATGTGCATGGCTGGCTGACAGTATAAGTAGAGTGTATATAGTGCAAACCTTTTTATTATTTAACAGCCATTAAAATTTTGAACTTGTACCAACCACCTTTGGATTGACTTATCAGTCTGATGCTAATGTTGATTACACACACACACAAACACAAATAGGGTATCATTGCTGAAATAGGTCATAGCAATCATATATTGTAAATGTACATGAATCTAACTTTGTATGTAACATGTATGTTATTTCTCTTGTAACTTCTATTTTATAGTTACAGTTAGAATTTTACTAAATTGATGTATAAATTAAATTTATAATATATATATATATATATATATATATATATATATATATAATACAACTTTGGATGACTTCATCTCTCCACTCCTGTTCAGAAAGCCATTGAATATCACTGTGATATATTATTTTATAAAGGTTCACAGCTCTCTTAAAATCAACAGTCTTAGGGAGCTATGAACCGTTAGGAGAAATAAGAGGATAAAATAGAATGAGATGACAAATTACGAACTTCAAAGTTCTGTTCTTATGAGGAACTGTCACTCACAGCACCCTTGCCTGTGACTTTTGAGACCTCCCCTTAGATATGCTGTGACTTCTAAGTGACCCTCATTGATCTTAAGCAGCTTCAGCTCGTGCCAGCTTTGTTGACCTGGACCCACCGAGTGTACTTTTAGAGTTTGAAGAGGCAACCTGAACCACTGCACCTGTGTGCTTGAAGTAGGGTAACATGTAATGGCATGGCAGCAGGGGACCATGGCGGTCTAGACATTGTTTCTGCTACAGTTCAAGGGTTTGTTCTTAAGGATTAGGCTCCAGGGTAGTTCAGTTTTGTCTAATAGGACTTTGTGCAATGACTAAAAGACTCTGTAACCCATGCTGTCCAATGTGGTAGCCAGTAGTCAAATGTGGCCATTGAGTGCTTGAAACGTGGGTAGAGTCTGTAAGTAAATGAATTTTCAACTTCAGTTAATTATGGCTATGTGTCTAAAGACTATTGGTTATTGCTATTCTAGAATATGTGTTTCCTGTAACTACTATTGCAAGTGATAGAATTGTGATCTCTGTGGGCTCTTTGGGAACACTTTATAGACAAAGTAAGACCAGTATAGGTAGAGACACACAAAATATAGATGATCCTAACAGAGTGAGGTGGGCACAAAGCAGAATGTGAAAAGGGCACTGGACTTTCATGTCTCTTTGTAGTCACTTGGCATTGAGCCTATGGACCAGCTTAGATCTTCAAAAGCAGACAGCAGGCACCAGGTTTATCAGAGTGCTCTAACTCACAGGAGAGTCACTATACTCTATTAAGTGTTTTGGTCTCTGATTTAAATGTAATATAGATGAGTATCAGAATATCTGAGAGCTAGAGGAAGCTTAGGGATAATTTCATGCTATC